GACATGTCTTTATGGATATAAACTTGGTACATGCCTCTATCACTGGTAAAAAAATCAGCACGTTTGCTCGAGCCGTAATGGAGATATTCGAATTTCTTATCGCACAGTTATTTATGAACCATCCTGTATAATCAAAATTGGGTACACCTTTCTATTGGCATATTTGTTATTTTATGTATTGCTCGCATAAATCCAGCATTTCTTAAGTGAATAACTCATAATGGTGGTCCATCTAATCGTTGCACCGATTGTGATAATAGGAGCTGGTGTGGTTGCTATAGCGGGTCTGATTTCTACAGTTAGGCGTGTGCTTGACACTATTGAGAGAGCGAAAAGGGCTTCGGAAATGCATGCACTTGGTATGCCAAAACCTCCACCAGGTTATACGAAAAAAGATATGGTGAAAACTGCAAAAAAGCTCGGTCTCGACTACAAGTGTTACAATTTTGGTGTTTTTGGACCCCAGGGAGCAGGTAAATATAAATATTGTCTCCTATATTTTGTAAAAAGTTTAAACTGTATATTCTAAGAATTCAGAGTCAATTATAACTAACAATTACATGTTAATATCAGTTCTGAGAATCGATAAAGTATTGAAAAAGTAGGCAATCGAACCGAACTAATTATTTTGAAAAGTTCTAAAACTATATATTCAAATCTTTGTTTAATTATTTTCTCTTTATTGTTTGAGCTTAAAGTATATTTTGAGATGAATGAATAGTGAGATATATTGAAAATAAGCAAGGATATTTTTATGTAAATAGAGTTTACTTATCTCATGTAAATAAAATAACGAAGAAATATTTCAAAATATTGCTATTAATGCGTTTTATCCACATTCAACATAAATAACAGAAGGGCTTCCTGATAATTCCTAAAGATACAGCAGTCTACTAACTTATTTGCATTAAATTATTTGATCCTTTTGATTTGATAAAAGATTCGATAGCAAAATAAAACAGTTATTTACCCAGTTAGAGTTGTTGAGTCCAGCTGAACTTCAGAGACATTGATTTTGAACGCCGAAAAATCAATATTTGAGTTTATTGAAAATACAAAAAGTAAAAGACACAAATTTTTCCTTTACTGTAAATCAGTTGCTGCTAGATAGCGGATCATTGAAATACTTGTATTTGCCATTTTCACATTGGAAAAATATACAGAGGTTGACTGAGATTGGCATGTATAGTGCCACTTTAGGTGATTATAACTTCAAATTTCTGAACTTTAGTTAAAGAAACGTTACTGTCATAAATTTCAAACGATTTTTCTACGATAACAGAAATGAATAAATTTTGATCGCAAAAAAGCAACTAAAGCGAAAGACAATATAAATATCAATTTTTTTCCTACTAATTCAACTTCATCTTTTCATGATTCAGACAACACGATCAAATCTAGGAGTAAAATTTAAGACAAAATTGAGTTTTTGCTAAATGTAGATAAAGAAAAGCAATATTTGTTAAGATGTGACGTCTATGGCAGACTCATTGATATGATCTGCTGGAAGAAGAGGGAGCGATGTTCCACTATGTAGAACAAATCCACAACATTATAGATTTACAGAATTTTTACAAATTTGCAATTGCAGGTAAATCGACACTCATCAACTGTCTGCGAAATCTTCGTGATAGCACTAAGACAAGTGATTGGAAGCATGACATTTTTGGCTCAGCACCTACAGGAGAAACGGAGACAACAACTGAAATAAATCAGTATGGATATCCAGACGATGGTCCGTTTCAGCATGTGCGACTCTGGGACTTGCCAGGTTGCGGTACAATCAATTGTCAAGTTAAGGACTACTTCAAGGAAAAGAAATTGTTTGTGTTTGACTCTTTACTTATGTGCACGTCAGGAAACTTAGGTGAATACGAGTTGAAGTTGATTGAAGATGCTGGAATTCATGAAAGACCTGTAATCGTTGTGTTGACCAAAACAGAGTTGAGAGCAAAAGCTAAAGCAAAAAAAGAATATTCGCGCAAGAATGTATCTCCCGAAGAATTGGAACCTATCATCGTGGAAACTATCAAGGAAGCAAAATATTATATGATGGATGTTTTGGGAAAAGCCTCAGCGAAGTATCAATTGATCAGCATCTCAAGTATATTCGTCGTATCTGCTGAAAGCTTCCGTGATCTTCTTGAATCAAACAGTGAGGAAGATGCACTTCTGTCATTCGAAACGGCACAGATGCTGGATTATATGATCGAGGAAGTCAAAAATAAATGCTTTTCTTGCTAGTATGCTATTGCGTTTCAGTTATAATCATGAATTTTTTTCCAATAAACATGAGCAGCATTAGTATCCAATAGTATGGGGGTGTGGGTGTGGGGTGTGAGTGTAGATCAAATACTCTACCCACAGCCACACCCACACTCACACTCACACCCCACACACCCACACTCAGACCCCACACACCCACACCCTTTTGATCGTTTTATAAAAAGGTTTTTTATATTTTTGTTCTGAAAGTATACCAGAGCAATTCCCTTCAAGAGTCTTTTAGCATCAGGAGAAAGCGCGTCAAAAACTGCATCTTTCTATATGCAATTCAACAAGATAAAATTTGGGGAAGTTATTTAATTTTTGAGCACAAAGAAGATCGCTACCATGCGAAATAGTTCCACATAGGTGGAAAATAACAACTGCTGTTTCATTGAAATTTTTCAATTGTAGGATTGTGTAAAATTGTTTTGTATATATTGTACATTCACTATAGTTACTAGTGGTATATAATTTAGTTTATTTGTAATTATAAATAAATATTTAGTTACATTTTAATCTTGAGGGGTCGGTTTTTTTTTGCACTCCGTACTATCTTGAGAGAAGTAAGACAGCTGCTCGTGATTTGCTCAGTACAGCTCCAAGGAGAGATTGGACTGCAAAATGATACTAAATAAGATGAACTTTTATGCTGCTTACTTTAATTATGGTTGAAAGAGTAGCCGAGCTAGAGTCAAATTATCCGAAACACAGCTAGACTGGGTCACTTTTTCAAGTGACTATTAACAACACAAGATTATCAGCAAGTTTTTTTTTTGTAGAACTAAATGATGCCAGACGATCACATTTACGGGTTTAGATATAGCTGACATAACGGTAAAAAAAATGGATGCAATGGGCTTGATTAATCACTGTTTAGAGAATATTGAAGCAGTAGAAAGTTAACCACCATATAGTTTCCATATATATCAGCATAATAGACAAATTTATGATCCCAAATAGTATTTATAAATTCTTGTGACAATACATTATATTCGTTTTGGTAAAACATTTACGTAACTTGGATACAATGTATATTTAGAAATAATGAGGTGTTTCGCAGATAATAGGCAAAGAAAATATTTTCTTCTTATCGTCGTCTATTTGCTCCAGACAGCAGAGCATGATACGCACCAATTTTGAAATCAACTTGATTCTTGTGATTTTCTGCACATTTTCTTTACTATACGGGAAAATGCCAGTTTCACCACATCTTACATAGAAAACGATCGGCTTTGGAAAAAAGCTAATTAGCAACTTTCAGATTTTGTACTCGCTAATCAGATTCAATCGAAAAGGAAAATTGTATAAATCTGTCAAAGTACTTGAGGTATACAGGTATCTGTGAAGGATATCTTTGAGTTGAACATTGCACACAAATCTCAATATAACAATGAGGCCGAAATATTCGATTGTCTTCTTCAGAACAATATAATATTAATATTTTGTTTGTGAACTTCCTGTTATTTACACATATCGGAAGCAAGACGACACAGACGAGAAAAAGAATTGATACATTTTGTTTGATGGCGTGATTTTGAGATGTCATGAGATGAACAGTTTTCAGGTAATGATACAACTAGCTATTCAATCTGTAAGTTACACTGCTGCTAAGCATTAATACTTACTACGACATCGACGACAAGAGCTATCATCCGTTGGTACATCTCTGGTGAAAATCTATTTTGATTAAGAAAGAACAAAGCAAGTATATCGACAGCTTCATCACCATTACTGTTGTTCTTATTTGTTGATTGAAGAACAGTAAGGACTTGTCATTTTTTTCATCGATAACTCATCCATGTACAATCAATACATCTCTATTGATTAACACAATACAATTTTACCAAATCTATTTGGTTTTTTTTTGAAAAAGAAACAATTGGAATTGCCTGACTTTCTCAAAAGATACACTCAAAATTTTTGAAAGAGAAATATAAGAGATGCCAAGTCATTAATACGTCGAAATTTGTCGCAAAATTGCCTTGCAACTTGTTTTAACAAATTCTTATCATCTGACACACAATATGCAATGCTTCAAGCGAAGGCCAAAATAGCATCTAATCTGTAGATGCACCGAACATGTGCACTCACATTGACTATATTATTTACATAAGAAATGAAAAGTAGTTTTGCCTACTTTTATTTATGATATTACTTTTGAAAGCCTTTTTGTTTTATCGTATTGTATAGAACGTGTATAAGACGAGAGTAAAAAAAACATGTGCATCGAAGTGAATATTTCTAACACAGATAATCTATTGGGAGTATTAAAATTTTTGGTAATTTTTTTTCTTTTCATTGAAAATATTTCAATAAAATAGATTTTTTAATATTGTATTTTAGAGAGACCAATCACCTCAATCGCTTCTTCCTTGTCAACTACTTACATATGTCTACTCGAAGATAATTACTCGAGAAGATATTTACCCACAGATCTTTGTTAATCATCCAACTGAAATCAAATGTGTTATAATACTCTATTCTATGCCTGGTCTCGTTTCCAATTGGAATCTTATTCAGAATTATATACGTAATATTGCAATTGTTTGTGACAAAGAATATACGAAAAATGTTCTTGTTGAAATGTTAATAAAATGTATTCCATGGAATCAGAAACTTATGTTTTGTGCTATTGAACAACGTGATATAACACCAATAATCGAACAATATATAGAAGAGAAGAAAATTGGTAACTATGAAATATGGACATATATTCAATTTCAATTAGACAAAAATCTATTTATGGAAAAATTGAAAATACTTTCAACAACAGTTCCTCCAGGTAGCAATATATTTCAAAAAATATTTAAAATTATTCTGAATTTTCAATTATAGGAATTGAAATTCGACCATTGAAACCAGAAGATGCATACTTTATTATAGAAGCTGGAGGTTACAAATCATATGATATGTATACCGTGGATCAAATTCAATTTTCTATTAAAAAATTATGCACCATGGGTAAGTTTTGGTCTATTTATGTCAACATAGTTTTATAATGATCAAGATTTTTTTTGGAAAACATCCTTAAGAAGAAAATGCAAGTTCAGAATCCTCCTTGAGAAAACATTCTGTGAAATTATTGATATGAATTTTTTAAAAACATTTCCAGAATGGATGTTTCTTCAGTTCTAAATCTTTCTTGAATAGTGTAAAACGAGCTTGATTGTAAATTTAAAAAAAACAGGTGCATATCTTGATGGCAAACTAATTGGTTGGCGACTTTTGCTATACGATGGTTCTTTCGACATGGTATATACGCTTCCTGAAGCTCGTCGATTCGGACTCGCGTCTCTGTTAAGTGTTCGATTAACGACAGAAATGTTCAAAATGCAAGAACGTGTATTTGGGTATACAGCTTTAAATAATCAAAAATCAATGGGATTAGCGGCAAAAATGGGATTTCATGAAACAGGCTTATATGATTGGATTGTATTCGAACCGAATGATATCTCCGTCAAAGAAGATCCACAACATCCTCAGATACTGAAATCTTCGATCTAACTTTTCTTTATTAAAGACTCTTTTGATCGAATTACCTTTTTATTATCATCAAATTTTACACAAAAATATATAAATCATTTTGTAACTAATACGTGTGTTACAGATCATCGACAACTTTCAGTTAAGAACTTTTTCTCTCTTTCGAACGAACTAGCACGTTTGAACTTAATACTATCATGTGGAAAGAAGAGATAAAATTGGAGGGTGTGGGTGTGGGATGTGGATGTGGATGTAGACTAGGAGGGTGACTCACACCAACACACCCAAACCCACACTCCACCCACACCCACACACCCCCAATTTTATCTCTTCTTTCCACATGATAGTATTAAGTTCAAACGTGCTAGTTCGTTCGAAAGAGAGAAAAGGTTCTTAACGGAA